ACCAACTCAGAAGAGGACCCGACATTTAAATATAGATAGGATGTTATGGAATATTCATTCTATGGTTCCCTTGAGGATTAAGTGTTCAAAGTTTGAACAATATAGAAGAAAATTAGTCCATTCAATCTTCTAACTGTACCATTGTTCCTTGTTCTTTCGTTGGCTTATTTCTTCCTTAAAACTAAACATGGGTCATCAGGGAGGATGCAAAAACTGCATGGGCTTGGAGTGTCAGGTAAATTTGGATTTGCATTCTTGGTCAATTAATTATTAGTCAATACCTTGAGAAAGTGACTGATTTTCTTGGACCCTTACTTTGTTCATTAATAAGTTTATCTGATTAAATTCTCCCTCAAGTAGATGGTATGAGTATTAAACGAGGTGCTAGGTTAAATGCTTTTAGTGTAAAAAAGTAAAAATTACACTTTGTTCTTAGCCTAGGTATGTCCCAATACATAGTCAAGAAAAATTCTCCAGATTTTAAAACCTTGCATTCCTGAAAGCCATAAACTACAAAACATATTCACATGTGTTAAGATAAGCCACAACCTGATTTTTATCATGGAAGATAGGAACTTCCGTTTATATTAAAAGTGATCAACTTTTCCTACCATATGGTCTAGTGATTCCACTCCTAGGAATCTACCCAATGGACACAAAAACATTAATTTGAAGGGAAACCTGCACTTCTATGTTTATTGCAGTACTATTTACAATAGCTAAGCTATGGAAATGACCTAAATGCCCCAAATAGATGACGGGGTCAAGAAGATGTGGTATATATAAACACAATGGAATACTACTTAGTGATCAAAAAAGATAAACTCATGCCATTTGCAGCAACATGGACGGAGCTGAACAGGATTATGCTCAGCAAAGTAAGACAAGGAAAAAAAGAAAAATATCAGACGGTTTCACTTACAGGAGGAACACAGGGAAACCAAACGAAGGGTCAAGAAAAACACAAACTTGCAAACTGACCATAGATGTGAGGCATACAGCACGGGAAGGGAAGGAAGGGGTCAAAACAGGGGAGGGAAGAGCACAGTGACTATGGTGATAGGTCATGGGTGCTGTGGTGGTGGGAAAACTACAGGGACTGCACTTCTGGGGAGAAATCAAATAATGTACAAAAATGAGTAACAATGTAAGAAAATAAAAAAAAATTTAATGACTCAGCTTTCCACAACTACCCACAGATGGGTCCATATGGCATTGTTCTGGGTTTTCATCCTAAAGTAAAAGGAAGTTTTCACTAAATCTGGAGCCTTGATAACCTACAGATGAAGGAAAAGAATGTCTTTAAATTCCTTGCAACAGAAACCCAGCCCTGTAGCACCAATTTTGACTTCCAAATGGAATAGTACATCTACAAAAGGAAACTTCATGGCACCTACATCATAAATCTGCAAAGAACCAGTGAGAAACTTCTGCTAGCAGCTCACACCATTGTTGCCAATGAAAACCCACTGGTGTCAGGGATACTATTTAGTGAGCTGCGCTAAAGTTTGCAAGTCACTCCTGCTGTTGGTGGCTTTACTCCTAGAAATCCACTGAACAGATCCCAGTAGCCTGCTGGGAGCCACAACTTCTGGTGATTACTGATCCCAGGCCTGACCACCAGTCTTCACAAAACTCTCCTGTTATGCCTACCACTGTTTTGTGTGACTCACTCTCTTCTATGTTATGTGGACACTGCCATCCCATGCAACAAGGGAGCACTCTCAGTGGGTCTCATGTGGCAGATACTGGCCCAGGACACTCCATACATATATGCACCAGCTCTCATGAACACCCAAGAGAGGTCATGCCTGATCTCCACATCTACTGAGATCCTAAAGAGACTGAAAAGGAAGAGCAGGCTGCTGCTGCAGCCTGTGACCAAGCAGGAATTTCAGGGTGAACTGCCTGCTCCAGCTTCTGAGTTTACGGCTATTCAACCTGAGGTTGCAGGCTGGTCTGAAGCTGTGTGGGGACCCTTGGTGTCCATCTAGCAGCTCCCTACTGAAGATTGGAGTGAAGCTCCCATTGCTCGGGCCACTGAGTGGCTAGGAACAATCAATGAGTGGTCTTAAGCTGCTTTCCAAAGGTTCTTAAACAGAAAATGGAAGTAAGGTTGATGGAAAATAAAGTTTCTAAAAGTGGTGTCCAAAACAAAAGTCTCTCTAAAATGTAATCCAACCAGAACTTCAGGCCGTCTTTATCTGACCTACAGATATATATAGCCTTCTTTCCTTATCCGGGATATTACAGATATCCTTATCTGGCTGTCAAGAAAGCAGGACTCCCTTGTCTATGTTTCCTTATTATTACAGGTAAAATTTCACTCAATACTCCAAAAGAGTTTAATTATTTATATTTTGCTTGACATTTAACATGGAGGTCCCACTAAGATGTTTATATCAACCTGCTCACCTGTGCTTTCCAAACTGCATAGTCTAAGAAGAGCCTTTAGCCCCTTGGTGCCAGCCCTGTCTTTCTTGGCTTCTGGGATGAATCATATGGTGTAAGGTAGTGATTTTGTAACTCACAAAGCCTGTTTCAAAATTATTTATGATTTATTGCTATCTAGATATTTGGTTTTATTTCTACTTCAAGCTTAATTGAATTATTTGTGTCTAATGAGTGTCTAGTCCTGTATAACAAATGCAAAATACTGAGGTTAGTATACATTCTCATTTAGTGTTATCTAGCCACAGTTTGGGGATATTAGAAAAGAAGAATTAAAGGTGTCTCTATTTTCAAATGACAAGTTTTTTTTAAAGGTAGAATTTTCTAAAATATAAAATATAACTAGCAGAATCAGTAAATGAATTTAAAGATTGCAATATTCAAGATTAACATTAAAACTTAATTAATTTACTACATTCCAGCAGCAAACAATTATGAATTTTCAAATTGTTGTTTAAAATATGTTCAAAACATTTAAGGATAAGGATAAATTTGTCAAAATTATGTATGGTATCCACAATGAAAGGTAAAAAATATTTCTGGGGAAATATTAAAGACCTAAATCAATAACAGAAATACCATATAATCTGGTCTAGAAGCAATGACATGCCGGTAAAGAATTAACAGCTGACATCACCCACAAAATAAACAAGGGGCTTGTTTGCAAAGTTTGCCAGTTTCTGAGGTATAAATTCTCCCATACTAGTTATTTTTAAGGTATCAAATTCCTTAAAATTTAAAATGGTCTCTTGTGATTTAGTATGAGCAGGAGTTGTCTTCAACTCACCAATAAGCAAAAAATTTAATACTATTAAAGATGGCAATTCTCTGGTTCAGGATTACTGAAAGGAGACCTAGAAGCAGTGACTCCAGTCAGCTTTTCCTAGAAAGAAGGATTCTCTACTTGCCATAGGTTCAAAGCAGTATATTAATGACCTGGAAAGCTCTGATTTAAGTCTTCATGTATTTATTTATAACTATCAGATCACTGTTAATCCAGCCATTGGATCTTGTAGTAGATCTACTCTTAAGAAGTGTAGACTTTTGATAAATTCTGTAAAATCTCATTTACCAAAGAGAACTAAATTGATCTTTCATTCTCCATCTTATATGGGAAATAAAGTTTATTTTCATCATCAAAAAAAAAAAAAAAGATGACAATTCTCAAATTGATAAAGCCCAATCATAATGAAACAGTTTCACAAAAATCAACAATTTAATTATAAAATATATATGAATATGCGAATCACCAAGAATATCCAGAATAATCTTGACAAAGAACAAGGTTGAAGGACTTTATCAGATTTCAGTGTTACTTGATAGGTAATCCAACAATGTGATACTGGCATCCAGACAATCGATGGAACAGAAGAGAGAGCTCTGAAATAGGCTTTAGCTATATATAGTCATTTGACTTGCAAAAGTCTTCAACAAACAGTGGTAGGATATATGGTTATATATTGGTCCCTACCTTACATCATGTAAAAGTAGATAACATGGATTATATACCTAAAATATAAAGTTATAAAATGTCTAGAACGAAATAAAAGAGAACTAATTCATTACTGGAGGGTAAGTCCAAGGTTCTTAGGACACAGAATGCAATTAACAAAAGAGTAGATGATAAAATGCACTTGTACAAATTTTAAGACTTATGCTCAATACATGACATCTTTATGGAAATGAATAAAAAAGATACAACTAAGGAGATAAGATGCATAAATTTCGTATCTGATACATATCTGATATTATCAATATAAAAAGAACAACTCTGTAGATAACAATGCTGCAAATAAACAATTAGTAATAGAGCAAATGGTTTGAATTCATATGAATATGAAAAAAGTGCTTAACATCATAAGAAATCAAGAAAATATAAATTAAAATCATAATGAGGTACAATTATACACCCTCAAAAGAGAAAAAAAAAACTATGAAAAAAAAGACTGAACAATCAAATGTTAAATAAAAATATGGGGCAATCAGAACTCTCTTCTATTATTGTGGGATTGTAAAATGATTGAGGCTTTTTGGGAAAAAAATGTAACTATTACAAAAATAAGCATGCACTTGTTCTAATGCCCAGGGAACTTACAGACCCAAGAAATTTGGGCAGGGGGCGGGGGGAAATCTATGCATACAAAACAATTGTCTAGAGTCTAAGAATGCTCAATAAATGATTCAAGGATAAATACAGAATGAAATCATTCTGATTAACGCTGAAATGGAAATTTACATTTTTGCAAACAACCTCATTTTCAAAGAGAATCAACAATAGCGGTAATGATCTGGACAATCCTTGGGGATCACTCCTGTACCTTTGGATGACCAAAAGAGAGGCTAAGGAAAAAAAAAAATGTTCTTATTGTCTAGAAAAGATTGACTGTTCTCTAGCCACTGGTATCTAGTACCAGAAATGACCTTAAACCAATCAATGACAACTCATCAGTAAAAGTGCTGCTAAAAGTCAACCAAATGAAAACAGTAAAAATCAATCAGGAAATTCATCTTTGGAAAAGGAAGAAGGTCAGGATAGGCACCAAACTTACCAGCATGAGATTCAAACTTCAGCAAAGCACTATTGTATCCCAGAGTAATCAAGATGGACTCCTTCCCCACACGGCAACATTCAGTGTCTCTGTTGAATGAGCATTTAAAGACACAGACGCCATCAGCTATAAAGATTAAAAAAAAAAAAAAGATTAGGAAAATCAATCGAGCATTGTAAAAAGGTCCATCAGGGCTCCCCAATTCTTTTCCCCATCTTCTTTAATATAATGCCTCCAAGGACATATGTGAACATGAGAATCAGAGATAAAAGAAATTAACCAAGCCAAATACCATGTGGGTATCCACATGTGAGTTAACACAGGGCTTAAAACTGACTTTTAATGGCTCTTGATTTAGGTTCAGGGTCCCCATTCTCTATAATCCTTGATTTCCTCAAATCATTTTTTATCTCTTGATGCCATCTCAGCAGAGTCCAGATAATGCTTTCTTGCGAGATTCTTGAGTTCCTTCCTAATATGAACCACAATCTCCATTGTAATAATCACTGCCAATATTTCTTAATGAAGAGAAAGCAAAGAATTTAGGTCTAAATATGCATAGTCAGTAAGTGATGGTACTGGAATTCAAATACAGGCACTTGAACCCAAAGCCCATACTTCTATCAAATGGTACTGAGGCAAGGCCTCTGAAGAGAGAGCTTTGTTTCAGCAAGAAGACTGTGGTGAGAAAGGTCTCATTAACTACATCCATAGACTATTGGGAATTCACTCACTAATCCATTTATAGGCAAGAAAAGCCTTTAGATTTGGTGCAGTTATTTTGTGGTGGAAAGATTAACGAACTTGGGGTTTTGTTTCCATCATTGGTATCACTAACTGAGGAACTTCAATCACCTACTCACACTGAGTCATATTCTTTCATCATATAAAATGAAAATAGTGATGTTTGTTTCATAGGCTTTATGTGCACACTGAATAACCAAGGTATAACAATTTCTAAAATCCTTTAAAACAGTAAGGGACTATTATTATTTCTCTCATTATAAAGTATATCTTAGCTCCTATCTTTACTACCTTCTATTTTCCCTTACAAAAGCAAATAAGTAAGTGTAATACTTAAAAACATAATTCCACATAAAATTCTACAATTATACCTGGGCATACTGCACATTCATGCACACACATCCAAAACATACACACAGCAAGATACCAAATATTTTCATCCATTATTTCAAAAGAATGACTGTCTTCTGATGGAAACATTCACAAATATTTTTCACAAAACATCCTAATTAAATAGTACAGATGTTTTGAAAATACTATTGGCATAAAACATGATTATAGATTTAGTTGTAATAGTCCAGTCAATGTCTCTAAGGCATCAAGGGTCTCTCTGCAGAGAGGCAGTCATGATTAGAGATGGAGAAGAAGGAAATTTGGGGCTATTTTAAAGATTTATTTATTTGTGCGTACAAGACTGGGGTATAGGCCAGAGGTAAGCAGGGTGAGAAGATTCACCAGAGACAGAGTGGGGAACGGACTGATCAAAACACACTGCTGGGGGGGAGCAGCAGGCAAGTCAGTAGAGGTATTCTGCACCATGTGGGTCACCTCCCTGGCTGGGATCAAACTCGTGCTACAGTGGCTGTGGATAGCTTCATAGTCCTGCATCTTAACCCACTGCGTCACCAGGGAGGCCCCTTTGGGGCTACTTTAAACATGTTTTCTTGAAATAAAAACAGTTATTTTCAAAAAATCAAAATTTTTAGCATTTACAAATTGTTTCACTTACGGTTTTTAAGATGGGAAAGCATAAAGAATGAAGGAGGACTCCAGTCTTCTATAATCCCTTGTACATACATAACTATTAAGGTCTTTAAGTTCTTTGCATATAGTGACAATTTCAGTTTATTTTTAGAATCAATATCTTTCTCTAAATCAAAGCCTAGCATAGAATATCTTTTATCCAGTTTGTGTTTTTCTTTCACATCCTATGTCATTTTCTTATTGTCTCTATTTTGCAAATTAATCTTATAGACATGATTTTGGTGCATACTTTTCCATCATTGTTGGTAGGGATGTTATTTGGCCCTCTTACATTTTTCCTTGTAACTCTGTATGGGATTTGACCTAAATACTTTAATTTTTTATATAAATAAAATTTTCCCTGAACTTTTAGAAGGATGGAAATTGCACAGTCTACAATTAAAATAGACTACTATTAAAATATTTTCAAGTTTCCGTGCCACTTTACGGGCCTCCCCTGGTGGCGCAGCGTTTGAGCACTGGGCTGCAAAGCTGCCCATAGCCTCTGCAGCGCCGGTTCGATCCCTGGCCGCCAGCGAGGGTCCCACATGGCGTGCAGACCTCTCCTGCTGCCCGCTGCTCCCCTCAGCAGTGTATTTTGTCAGTCTGCCTGTTCTGTTCCCCGCTCTGGCTCTGGTGAATTCTCTCACCCTCCCGCGCTTCTGACTGTACCCAGTGCTTGTATAAATAAATAAATAAATAAATAAATAAATAAATAAATAAATAAATAAATAAATAAATCTTTAAAAAAAAAAAGAAAAAACCTCCCATTTACAATGGACAAATAATCCAGTTTCTCCACATCCTTAACACTAGTGTTGTCACTTTTTTGCTTTAAACAATCTTATAGTTGTGTAGTGGTAGCTCATTGTAAATTTAATTTGTATTTCCTTGATATTTAAGGAGGCTGAACATTTTTTCATATGCTTATTTACTACCTGTATATCCTATTCAGTGAATGTTTATGTCTTTTTCCCATTTTTTAAAATTTTTATTTTTAAATGCAATACTTCTTTCTTACCTTAATGTTAATATTTGGACAATATATGATTCTCCACCTCTCTGGTGTATTCTTCTTTTTTCCATTTTGGATATTTTTGTACTGTTGAGTTTTTAGAGTTGACCATATATTCTATATACTGATACTTTGGTTAGATATGTGGCTTACAATTATTTTCTCCCATTGTGTAGATTATCTTTTCATCCTCTTACAGATCTTTCACAGAAAATTCTTTAATTTTGATGAGGCTGAATTAATCAATTTTTCCTTTGATGGATCATTTGTTGGTGTCAAGACTTAGAACTCTGCCTGAGTACCTGACCTTGTTCTACAGCTCCATTATATCATAACTGGACAACTGTGAAGTCTTCCCTCTGCTATCCACTCCAGCAACTAAAACTGAGCTCACACTACTCCAGGCTGCCACATTATAATTTATGAAGTCCATGTGCAATTACTGCAATGCTCTGTTCAACCTTCAAAGATTCTCCAACTGAGTACTAAAGTACCGACTGTCAGGAATTGTAAAACCCCATGCTCCTTTTCTGTTTCTGCTCAACTTCCTGACCCCTAAACATGTACTACATTTCAGTCAAACTAACTACCAGTAGTATTCCAAAAAAGAGCATATAGGATGTGAGAGTGATCTGGCTCCAACATTTGTCATTCCACTAATTTTCAGAGGTGATTCAGCTGATTTGGCTCACTAGAAAGGTATCCTCTTCCTCCTTTACAAGTCCATGTACATCCTAGCTCAGGACAAAGAAGATAACCTCTGAATAGGGACAGATCATTTCTTTCGTCAAGGGTATAGAAGCAGCTGTTCCTCCCTACTAGACCCTCCAAACAAGCTCTCAAAAAAGGATTTATGGTAATGGTAGAGATATATATTAGAAAAGCAAGATTTAGGAAGTGATATGGCTTCCCTTCTGCCGCAATGAATATCACCTCATTTATTAATGTCCATTTTATTTAATTAAATTTTTAATTTAAATTCTTGGTTTTTATTTTTTATTGATTTATCATTGGTGTAAAAAACGATGTAAGTTTCAGGGGTTTAGCCTCACACACTGACAAATGTGTAAACTGTAACACACCAACCACTAATGATCTAGTAACAAATGGACCTGGCATTCATTTAAAATGCCACCATCACCATGGCACCTTTACTAATTGCCCCAACCGGCACACATTACTTACCTTGCTTCACTAATTCAACAGCACTCTGCACCTCTCTCATAGTACTTGGCTTATTTTCCCACTAAAACACACTTTTGTGGCCTCCGTGGTGGCACAAGGGGTTAAGTCTCAGCACTATCAAGCTATCACCAGCCACTGCAGCATGAGTTCGATCCCCAACCAGACAGGGAGGTGACCCACATGGCGCAGCAGACCTTTCCTGTCTTACCTGCTGCTCCCTTTAGCAGTGTATTTCAGTCAATCTGCCTATTCTGTCTCTGGTGAATCTTCTCATCCCCTGCACCTCTGGCCTATGCCCCAGTTCTTGTATGCATAAATAAACAAAAAATAAATCTTTAAAAAACATACATACTCCTATCCATTTTGCAAAATCAAACTGTCCATTGATAGAAACTGTGACCTCTTCATCCTTGATTCCCTTGGAGAAGCTGGTACACAGCAGGGACCATGAATTGTTAGCATGACTGGAACCACCATCAAAAATCACTTCAGGTCAAAGATACATATGGTCTATTGTCATAGCCACTGTTAAAAACAAAGTAAAAGGATGCCCTTATCTCTCTTGTTCTTGAAAAACCTTGAGATTTTTTTTTTTACCATTATCTCTTTCTTCCACAGCTTTCTCCTTCCAGATGATCACAGCAGAAAGAAGAACAATAAACGCTGAAACCAACTCCATAATGAAATCGTAAACACCTCTGTGACCAATATTTTCAAATCAGAGGGATGTAACTTTTCATTTTGCCTCTAATGAAATAGTACACCACTTCCCTAACAGCTTTTCTAGGCACCTACTGATCCCTCAAATTTATTTTCAAAGCATGTCTGAATAATACTTCAGCTCTCCCTGAAATTTCTCAAGGTGGGAAAGTGACAAGGAATAGTAGATCTTGTTCTTTTTAAAAATCAACTCTTTCCTATCAAATACATATCCACTATTTCAGCAATCAGCACATAGTCTATGATTCCTGCTTACTGAATTAAACTGAATTAATACAATCAAAGGAGCCTTGATCACTTCCTAGACCACAGAGAAACAAAGATACTGAAATCTTAGAACATTGCAGACATCAAAGAATCAAATACTTAGTATTTTTAGGTGACATTTTTTAAAAATCTGGCTAACAATTTGGTTCTTTTGGTTCATAAAATATTTTTT